GAATAGCTCCCTAAGCTGTTGTATATATTTTTTCAAAACAGGTATTTTCGCTGATGCAGGACAATGAAGTTAGAGTGGACAATCTGACGGTGACGCTCCCCTATGTGATTGGCGGCGTCACTATCAAAAGAATGGGCAATTCCGTGGTAAGTTATGGCAAAGGTTTCACACCAAACAAACAAACTATGACGTTTTTGGGACTTTTTTATTTGATGGGTCATAATACACACATACCTGTGTTATGTGCTGAATGATCACCGCGTATTGATATATATATATATATATATATGAATATAGTGCAGTTAGTAAACTTTCACATCACAAACACAAACAAACAAATTAATCAATAAGAAATGAATGGTCATTGTAGTGTATATAATATGAGGCCAGTATGACAGTTTCATATTCGCCCATTTTAGTGATCGGATTCGATTCTAGGTAGAAGTTCACTTTCAATATTTAGTTGCTTCAGACGAACTACAGCAGACGAATCTGGATTCTCAAGTTTACAGACAGAAAGTTTTCCGGCAAATAAAATGTGCTTTTTACTGATTAATCTTTTTTTTCTCAGGTTCTTATCACCGATTTTGGATTGCGAGTCAAATGGAACGGCGCATCTCTTGCCGAAATAGGGTTGCCACACACCTATAAGACCACCACGTGTGGTCTATGTGGAAACTATGACGGCAACAAACCAAATGACTACACAATGCCGGATGGAACACGGGTAAGTTGTAATTTGTCAGAATTGCATTCTGTAATTCGTCAAATCAATGACTCGCAGGATTATTTTGTGAACCATTTAATGAATTGAATTGCGCTATTAGTTTTTAAGACACAATAGGGTGTCGAGATCTCGTTGCGAGATAATATGAGGTTATTAGGAGGATACATCAAAGTATACACGAAGACAGTACAGCAGAAGTATCGGCCGATTTCCTTATATGGTAGGATGATAATACCCCGTAAAATACCGCAATATTACGGCACGCTGTAACTTATGGCGTTACAGTTACGATTATATATGAACAGTTTAAACATGAGTGTGTATTTGAACAGTGCCATCTACCGGTTTTCATTGCCCTCCCCTGCTGCTTATTTTACAATAATAGTTATAATGGTTTGAGCTGCCGTCAAGACAGACGCTGTGGTTTCTCGTGCAATGAAAACAAATATATTACGTTAATTTACATGCCCTTTTGTAGGGAATCAGCTCCTAATTTCAGTAACGTGTTTGGAAGGATGGTGGTCGTAGCATCGCGACCAGTATCCGATATGGCCCCCTAGCGATGTGATACAACGTTACTTCGTTTGTTTACTTGGAATTGGAACGCACGCAGCCCGACGACCACCGCCCTTTAACCTTTGCACTGCATGCCAACGAATACTAACAGTTGACTAATTCTGAATCAGTTTATTTATTGAATCCGTTGGACAAACTAACATCGTTTTAATGTTTCAACTGCAGGCTTCCAATGCTGTAGAGCTTGGCAACAGCTGGCAGTCGACTAGATCTACGGTGGGGTGTGTACAGCAAGTTGAAGAGCCCGATTCAGAGGAATGCTTTTCGCAGGAAGTACTCGATCGTTGCGAACTCATCAGAGATTTAGACGGTAAGCAAAGTGTCTTTTATCGGATCAGGTGTAAATAAAAATAATCAATCAACAAAGTTACAAAACGAGATGATTTATTGAGTTATATTGTAAATTATTTGAAATATTTCACGTGCTAAATTTTGAAGAGTTGCAAATAATATCTTTTAACATTCAGTTTTCAATGATTTTCAACATGCCCGAATATTGCTGTTCGTTTCGTCATCTGATTTGATTGTTTGAATGGATTCGTGAAGATTCAAATTCGTTACAACCTACTACAACCTGCCCGTATCCGCAGTATCATTATTTCCCTGCATTCAGCGCATATTCTCGGGAGCGAACATCCGGGCGTTTTCACCGACTTGTAACCACATGCGATGCGAACAGCGATCAAAAACTCTACTTTGGACTAGTTATTTGGACCGTTCTAAGCAGCGTAACTGGATTATCTTTACATATTGTACGGAATTGTCCCATAGTTGAGTTTGTGCTGTTTTCCCGACTGAAGCACGCATGGGCACAAGAATCATACAATATATGGTACAGTGGTTCACGTCTTAGCAACATAGAACGTTCCGCCACGTGCACGTAGCTCCATTCACATCATTCTTTCAACTAACAATACTAAAATCGGAAGTGATCCTTTAGTGTAAAATGGGGATTTCCCATGCTGCAACATCAAGTGAAAAACGTACGACTGAAATATGACCAATTTATTCATCTTTCAATGTTTTATCAGGTCCGTTTGCTGATTGCCATGAAGCGATTCCATATGAACAGTACTACCAGTCTTGCGTCATCGACTCGTGTGCCTATATCGATACCATACCGGATATTTACTGCCAGGCATTCCAGGCGTACGCAGACCAGTGTGTCGATGCCAACGTGCCTCCGCCCGACTACAGAGAACCTGGCATGTGCGGTAAGTATTAGCATAACATTAATACCAGAAGTGAGTTTTAGTATGTGTACACACGTGACTATGCCACCAACGTTCAGTTTCCTTTGAACATTAATCATGCATGGCACATCATCAACAACAAGAGACATGCGCGGTCACAGGCACGTGCAAACCTAATAAACCTCAGATGCAAATGGCCCCGAGATCTCATTGACGAGAGTCCCAAAGACTTGTTTTTGTTCCATAAATTGTGTCTCACTGCTCCAAATGATATGGTTTCATAGTTCAAAGAAACAATGTTGAAAGAGAATGGGACACTATTTGATGGACAAAAACAAATCTCGTGACTCTCTCGCAGCCTACGAGATTTCGGCGGCCATTTGCATCTAAGGTCTATTACTCAATAGTAAACTTCATTTTTAAGACTATTTGACGACACACCCGACATTAATAGTACATAAAAACACGAAAAGATCTCGGATTACAAAATATGTATTATTCTAATGATGTGCGTTACAATACATGCAGTTATGAGACTGTTTCAAAAAAACATTGTGACACGAAAATAAAGACAACTTATTTTGACAAGAAATTCGGAAATATATTTAGAACAATCTATAACGGAATGGGTTTCATATGAAAATCAATGATAAATTCAATAATTATCGATTACACAAGAATATTACGGATAATTTTCTATATTCTCTATATTGTTTGCACTTTGTTTATCATGAAATATGACTGAAAGAAGTTGAATGAAATTACAAACTAAGTCGTGTGTTCGACCATTCCTCATGTGTGACTTTAATGACTTTAAGGCCAGACTTTTTTTATTCCTTGTTTCTTGGGTTTTTATAAGGCAATTTTTTTGAGGAGGGCTGCAAAAAAAATAAAATATTTTTTTCCCCACTAGATTTGTGTTATTCTCAAAGAATTGTAAGTGAGATCATTGATCGGAGAGAAGAAATGAAATAAAATGTTATTCCATGTATAACCTTGTTTGTCATCTGCGCGAGACTTCGGTGCTTTGATCATGATACTCCTACCAAAATGCAACTTGGATTTGTTATGCGGCGGGCGATAAAAAAATGAGATAAAAATATATTTTTTTTTTAGTA